TACTCTAGCATTCCAGTATTCCAGCATAAGTCTGTACGGCGTCGTCGATGGTCCACTGATTAAAACCACAAAAAGAATGCATGTTACCACCATACGATTACTTCCACAACTCTCCTCCACTGCATTCACTATTTTCCTTCCCATGCAATCCCTTTTATCACCAGCCCTAGGCGACAGAATGCCTGGGCTAGGGGTGTATGATGCCCACTAATTAAACTACTTTTGCCGAATTTTCAAAGCCATTTTTATCATTTAGTGTAGTTTGCCTAAAATTGCTTTCATGATGTTCTAAAGCAGTGGTCTGCAGAAGGACCCAACAGCGGCTACTGTGAAACTTTCGCCACAATGAAGGGTTCCTATGTATATGCAAATAACCAATAATGGGCAGGTTATTCAGTAAGTAATTGGAGCTTTCAGAACGTAGATTGGTTATTTTTGATAACATGATCACGAGGACGTACGTGACTACTGCCCATACTTCTGGCGATTAATCTCCCCGACGCTCATTGAATTGACATTGACCTTTCAAATCTGCAGCACTAGAACACAGTTGTCATGCGTAGGCAACTGTTATGTCATCGTTAATCACACATTGTCCATGCGACCTCGGGGAAGACGTTCTCAGTTGAACCTCAAAATCACCATTCAAAATTTTAGGCTGAATAGGTTTGCAGATAAAGGTCCAGTTAAAAAGACGGTTGGAGGTGCATTTTCTTAGAGCCATCATCCCAGTCTCCAGTTTGTGGCGCTTATTTCCGCGACAAAAAATCCCTTAACTCAATTAGCATAGGTGCAATCAGTATGAGTATACGTTTTTCCATTGTTTTCTACCTGCGTTTATTGATTAAACGGGAATTTAGTGCAGACTGGAAGCGCACATATGCAAGTTATTTTTTTCAAACATAATTGATTGTAGAATTATGAAGTGAACGTAGTAATGGCATACCAAGAATTTCATCAAAGAATAGGTGAGCTACCAGTCTCCTAGTTTCTGTAGGATAAAAAGGCTGCCAATAGGGGGACAAAAATTAATGTTCAGGCGAATGGAAGACTGCCTTTTTTTGGTGCAATGGGTCGACATTAGTAATCGCTTACCAGGCAAAAACATCTCACTGGATGTACAGCCTACGTTATCTGTCTAAGTAACGCTTAAATTTATCTCCTTAAGGGGGGCTGCACGCTTTAAATTATTACACCCACGGTAAACCAGGGAACGTAAACTATGTGAACTAAGTGGTACATAATGCTATTAGATGCAAGCAAACGCAAAAAACTCCAAGGAAAGGTTTTTTTGGTGACTGGAATCATGGCGAAGCACATGAAATCGGCTCACGTCTGGAGGAAACATCAACACCCAGAAATGACGACTAACGTTAGCTGGATAA